TCCTGACACAATCATTGTGCATTACTCATGCTGAGTGAATAAGTCACAAATAGTGAACATTTAAGCAATGGAAAGAGTGAGGCAAAATGAGCTATGCTTCAGCTGGAATCCAGCGAAGTTATGGGGATTGCATTTCTGCTCCTCAGTGCCATGAGTGAGTCTGAACTTTAAATTGATTATTTGTACAAAAAAGACTTTTAATTCAGAAAAATCTTTTATATTTTAATTGATAGTGTTAATCCTCACCCTCCAAACTGTATCTCCAACCAATTGGAATAGGTGTCCCAGAATACAATGAAATTAGTTAAACAGCTTTATTTTTATAATTAAATTTAGAGGTGAGGTCAGTTGGGTTCTATTATGTACATTTTCACACCCCAATATATGTACAGAAGCTAGTAGATGAATTAGTTTAAAAAGAGAGAAAAGAGAAAAACAGTCAAGTAAAGATTTTTCCAAACAATGGTAGACACCTTGTTCACAACTCCTCTAACTGCCCCAAATAACACTGCTTGATCATCTTCTTCCTAAAAAACCTTTTTCTCCAATCTACAACTAGCTAGCTTTGTTAATTCTTCCACATTCAGGGTAGATATTAGCATATCTAAATCTCATTAAGGAGTTTATAGAACTTTCTCTAAAGGAAATAGGTAGCAAAACAACATTCAATTAGTTTGCACTCCAGATGACAATAGAAGATGTAAACGAAACAACTAGAAAACAATCCAAGGTAGATCATGGTGCTTTGGCTCATAAACGTGTTCATTAGATAAAGAATTTTGGAAAGAAAGATCTGTTTTGTAATCAGAAAAACAAAAAACAGATTTACTGATTTGAATTGAAAAGTAGGTAAAGAATTTCAGTATTTACTCACATATTCATTCAAATATAAAAGGGAACTGATTACCACCTCCACCACAACAAGCATGTGCTATATGTGTGCAAGGTTAGATCAAAGTGGTAGCTAAGAATATTATATTCTGCAGTTGTTCAAGGATGACAGTTGAGAAAGTTTGATGACAGAGGATAAAAATAACACTTGTTTGGACATAAATGGCAGGCTTTTTTTCAATGAAATATGTGAATGTTCCCCCTTTTATCCACAACCCCAGAAACCCAAAATAATTTTGCAACATTAAGTTCACTACCTCATCGAATTATAATTATTTTTGATTTTCTGAAATGAAAATATAACTATGTTATAAACATGAGAATAAATTGAGGCAATGATAATATAAGTAACTATTGGGCTTAATCCAATTACTAGCTTTGCTGCACAGTAAATAATATGCATAACCTCTGTTCAAGTATTTTTTCCACCATTGTAAAACAAAGCCTTTGACAGGAGTTAGTTAATAGCAATTTAGAGCTGCCTCTAAATTGCAGAAATAAAAATGCTCACAATTTGAATGTGCTTTGTTGACAAAGGGACTATGGCCTATTTACCTTTTTTTTTTTTTTTAAAGTGGAATCTTCAGCTCCCAGATTGACAGTCAGTTACAAAGAGAGGAAGGCACCTTAAAGTTTCCTCTGGAGTGTATTATCACTGCATTCCAGTATCAGCAGTGGGTATAAACCGTGTGCTCTATCATACTTTTATCTTTATAATTCAAGTCAAGAGAATCCTGAGCAAGGTCGGTTTTCCTATCCACCCAGTGTGCACTTTGCATAGATTTTTAAAAAAATTCACAAAATTTGTTCTGTGGGTTTCGTTTATGTTTCAGTGAAATATGTTTCTTTTTATGGTGGTGACTTTGCAAGAAAACAAGGCCAGGAGAGGCATTTCCTCAAAGGCCTAAAGGAGACATTACCACCACCACCACCACCACTACTTGCCAAGGAATTTATAAAGCATCTTGAGGCTCAAGGTTAGTATGGGAGACCAGCCAGGCTCAGAAGTTAATACAAAGATAAAGGTTAGTGTTTTTCCCTCTTTTAGCCCACCAATACAACAAAGTACTTAAATAGTAACCCCCATCAGTCAGGTAATGATGTCTTTTCTACAATTATCATATTTGACTTTGTCTATTTTCTTTATGCTAGTGAGGTTTGGAATTAGAATTGAAAATCCTCTAGGGAAAAGCTATTTTTGTAATTCAGCTGGGGTGTCCTTGTCTTTGGGTTTTCCCATTGCATCAGTCCCTTAGCCTGGCAGGATAGCCATGATAGTGCTTTGTCTTTTAGATGAAATGCAGAACTAAGGACATGACTACTGGTGCTTATTAAAGATTCCTTGCTATTTTTCACAAGAGTAGGGGCGTTAGACTCTTGTCTACTGGCCAAATTCTATATTGGGAGATTACATTCTGCTTTCCTAAATTCCCCTAGCAGAAGCAGCCATCCATGATATCCTACTTTGCTTCCTGTGCTAAACTGTTGTGTGATGTCATTAAATGGCTCTGGATTTTTACTCAAGAAATGATCACTTTAGTGGAATGGGGAGTAAATCGGTACTTATTTTCTGATACTATATTCAATCTAGTTTCAAACAAATTAAAAGGTAGGCTGTTACACTTAAGGACAAAGTACAAAACAAAACACCTTAACGTACAAAACACTCTAACGTACTAGTTGTTGTGGTGCTTTAAAAGAAAAAAAAACCAAAAAACAATCTACTTTCTCTTCTGTAACATAGCCAAAAATATTAATGCATTTCTTTTACTCTATTAGTAGTTGACAATGAATTATTTGCTTCAAACATAAGGTTAATTCTAACAGTGATGAAGTTTGAGAGGATGAAATTACATATTGCCAACTGATTAAACTATCTCTTCTGTCTTTAGGCTGCATCTAACCATCCCAGACTTTCATTTGTCTATCTCATAAAAATATTTTTGGGCTGGGTGCTGTGACTCACGTCTGTAATCACAGCACTTTGGGAGGCCGAGGCGGGTGGACCACCTGAAGTCGGGAGTTTGAGATCAGCCTGGCGATCACGGTAAAACCCCATCTCTGCCAAAAAGTCAAAAATTAGCCGGGCGTGGGGGCAGGCACCAGTAATCCCAGCTACTCTGGAAGCTGAGGCAGGAGAATCACTTGAACCCAGGAGGCAGAGGTTGCAGTGAGCCTAGATTGCGCCATTGCACTCCAGCTTGGGCAAAAGAACGAGACTCCGTCTCAAAAAAACGAAAACAAAACAAGAAAAACCTCTTTTTGGAAGGAGATTTTTCATCTTTCCTTGATAACATATTTCAGTGTCTCTCAATTTTTCCATAAAAACTAAGTTTTTATTTGTGTTTAACCTTGGTTCCACCTGCTGGAGTGTAATGTCACTATCATTTGTTCATCATTAGCCTTGTTATAACATATTTTTAGTGAGAGGCAATATAGGATTATGGTATGGTTTTTGGAATCAGATATGCTGGCATTCCAGTGCTGGCTCTGTCTGTCACTTTCTGGGTGTGTGATGTTGGGCAAATTACTTCTGAGGTTTAATAGCTTCATCTGTGAATGAGTAACCTCAGAGCATCGCTCTGAAGATACAATGAGATAGTATCTTATTTTGAAGGATTATGGGGTAAGATGAGGCATGGTACAGGGCACCTAAAAAGTGTTCAATACATAGTACAAAAGCTATTTATCTGATGACATGCATGTATCTGACTTAATTCATAAACTCTTTAAGAGTGGGAGGCATACTTCCTGCGCATTCCCTGGATTTCAACAGAAGTGTAGTGTTGTGCACATAGTATGGTGCAGAGGCTCAATATTTACTGAAAGAATAAATTGTTTTGTTTTTATTCCCTGAGGGGAATGAACAGCCCCCAGCTACCTGCAAGATCCCACGCATGTAGATAAAAGGTGACAAAAATCAATCTGCAGTTTTTAAATATGCAGATACCTGACTTTATCTGGATGTTTTAGCATGGTGTAGATACAATGCAAATAACTTACACTTGCTATTTCTGTCAGGTTCATTTCTATGAATTTTAGCATTTGATTATTGTCATTATTTTTATTATTAAGCTGCACTTAGGCGCCCAGAAAGGGACTGACTCATATGCCTCCTCATCCATCCAAGCATTTAACTGAGAAATTTAAAAAATGAATATTAAGAGCTAATTATATACTTGAACAATATATTTCAATTTGTGACTAAGTACATTACCTTCCCTATTTATCTCTAAGATCTGATAACTACAGATAATATTTCTAATTGCTTTGTTTCCAAGCCAAGAAATAAAAACCAAAACCAGAAAAGTCCACCACTGCAAGTCCCAAAGCACAATTAGTATCTATCTTTGAACCAGTGAAGTATTGGTTAAGACTTTATTTTTAGCTTTTAAATCTTTACACGGGGCTAGGAGTGTAAGTCGGGGGAGCAACTACAAGATACATAGATTCAATCAGACTTGAATATTTGTCTATAAGGAAAGGAAATAGTATTACTTTTTTACCGTAATCTCGGAAAACCTCTGGTGTGTACTTAGGCTAGAATTAAAAACCGCAGCGTGGCCATTTCCCCGACTGCTTTGTACATACTTTACAGGGGCGGTCTCAGGTGTGGAGCTCCGGGCACCTGCTTGCTCACACTCAAACAGTTCAGAAACCTGTGTATTTGAGGCCGGGTGGCTCAAGTTCCACGTAAATGGCCTTAAGTGCCATTAATACTACGTGCAGCGGGGTCACTGAGCTGTGCTTTGGGACTTGGATGCTTACCTCGGACTTTCTCCTTTCTTCCCCCCTGCCCCCACTAGTTTCCCTTTCGTTCCTTCCTTCCCAGGCGTGCCCACCTCCTCCCTTTGCGCCCACTCGCCACTGCCTGACTCTTGTTTCCTTCACCTTCCTAATCGGCTTCCTGTCTTCCATCCTATGCCGGCCGCAGAGATTGAGATTGGGGCTGGGGCTGCAGCTCAGAAGCGGCACGAGTCGGGCTGGACAGGCGTGAGGCACCCAGCCGCGAAAGCGCGGGGCGCGCGCCGAGGCGGGGGCGCGCGCGGGGCAGCCGCGTGTCTAGGCAGACGGGGCCGGGAGCGGCGCGCGCGCGCCCCGCCAGCCTCTGGCGCGCCCCCGGCGGCCGGGGCCGCAGCGTGCTCGCCCCCGCCGCTAGCTCGCCTCACTTATGGGTCGGAAACGCTGCGTGGGGGAGACTGTTCCAAGATGGCGGCGGGTTGCTGCGGGGTGAAGAAGCAGAAACTGTCCAGTTCGCCCCCCTCTGGCTCCGGTGGCGGTGGTGGCGCCTCCTCCTCCTCCCACTGCAGCGGAGAGAGCCAGTGCCGAGCTGGGGAGCTGGGACTAGGAGGCGCCGGTACGCGGCTCAACGGGCTGGGAGGTCTAACCGGAGGAGGTAGCGGCAGCGGCTGTACCCTCTCTCCCCCCGAGAGCTGCGGCGGCGGCGGGGGGATCGCCCTGTCGCCACCAGCGAGCTGCGGAGTGGGGACCCTACTTTCTACCCCGGCCGCCGCCACCTCTTCCTCACCCTCCTCTTCGTCCGCCGCCTCGTCCTCATCGCCGGGCTCCCGGAAGATGGTGGTGTCAGCAGAGATGTGCTGCTTTTGCTTCGATGTGCTCTACTGTCACCTGTACGGATACCAGCAGCCCCGGACCCCCCGATTCACCAACGAGCCCTAGTGAGTACCGTGCCCTCTGCCGCCCTCTCCCTTGCGCTCGGGATGGGGCTCAGAGTTGAGGCAAAGTGCGAGTCCGCCTCCTGGCCGGCGGATGCCCCTGCCCTCTCGCTGCCCGGGTCCCCGGAGCCACTTAACTGAAGTAAGGGCACCCTCCGCTTTCTGCCCTCCGAGGCAGGCACCCCACACTTGGAGCAGGGTGCTGCTTGCAAGGGATGGCCCCGGGGCTCCCAGAGGTGTTAGCTTTCTCTTTGCGATAACTTCGAGGAGTTTTGACTCTTTCCTTATCTCCTTAACCACCCCCACCACCCCTCACCCTGCAGGGGTTTTGGAGATCTGGGTTGTTACTCAAGGTGTCGACCTCTCCTCACTTTGGTTTCCATTACCCCAAGTGAAAGCCCCGCCAGTATTCCCGCCCCGCGTACCTTGCACATGGAGAACTACTATCCCATTGCAGGGCGAAAAATAACAACTATGCAACTTCTGTTAGTGATGGAACTTAGCTCTGGAGCTTGTGAGAAGGTTACCCATCTTTTCCTCTGGATTTCCTTGTGCCCTAGGGAACGGGGAGGTTTCTTAAAACACATTTTCCCTTACTACCTATTTTTATCCAAATACACCCGTTAAAATCTGTTTCTCGTGTAGCGAGCGCACTGCCGGCTTCCTCACATTTGAAGAGACCTTTCTTTTTTTTCATTCCACCGCCTGGGTAATAGCTCATTCAAAGAGAGCTGTCCCCACAGAGCCACTGTCAGTTTGTACATTAAGCATGCATTCGCTTTTGTGTTGATTTCACTTTTTAAGAAATCCATGTTATACTCGACGATTTCAAAACAGTTAAATAGTAACTGTGTAGGAATTGTTATGGTTTCCTTTGGTTTTGTACCTCAAATTATTTTACCCTTCAAGTGTGTGGTTGAAAAATTTTAAGAAAGCACTGTTACAACTAAAAGCCAGGTTAATTCTAATCCCTGTCCATTTGGATGTGTGGGAGATGGGGCATATGGTTTATTTTTAATGTGTAAACTGAGTGTAAACTGACTTTTTGAGTTAAATGCTAGACAGAATGTAAAGACCAAGAGAGGGCAGAATGAGAAAAAGTGCAATTGCTTTTATTTGAGTACTTAGCATCAACAAGAATAATAATACAGAAAAATTTCAGTGAAACTCGTACTGAAAGACTTCAGCCCCTTTTCCAGCTACGACAAGTGTGCCTTGTCCCCATATCATAAATACCTGGATTGATGTTCTTTTAAAATTGCTCCTTTTCATTTTGTGAGATTAGAGGATTGGACTACTATTGGATAAGTATAAACACTTCTGCCTAGACTAAAATATTAAATTAATATGTAAAGTGGAAATTACAATAAAGTGTCCTGGAAATTGTGCATTTGTACTGTTTGTTTTCTTTGGCTTTTATGCTTTAAATGTCTTTAATTTTGTATGACTCTTCTGTGGTCTGTGCATTTTCTTTTAGACTTGGTTAATCTTTGGGCATTGGTTCATGAGAAGTGCAAGAAAGAGCATCCAGGAGAACACTTTGTCCAGTAAATATCTTTATACATTTCATAGTGTTAATTCTAGACGCTTAAATCCTAAGTCCACACCTTTATTTAGCCAATTAATTTTTTTGGTTAAGAAGCAAAATTCATTTTGAAAAGACTGCCATGTAAAAAAATCTGTGAAATATTTATTAGTTTGAGTCACTTATTTGTGACTTTCCTGCCTTCTCTTGGATGTCTGTGATGTATTAAAGCTAGTCCTGGGATGATACTTAGGTTGGCTCTGCAAAGTCATGGGACTGCAAAAATTCACTCCTGTTTAGTTCTTGAGCTCTTACATGAGTTTGGCAAAGGCTGTTTTAGTATTCACGCTCCATTGCTCCAAAGCATATGAGAACACACTTTCAGGAGGTGCTATTTTCACACATTTTAAAGTGAGTTTGGGTTAACTCAATGACTATAACAAGAATTTTAAAAGGAAAGTGAGCTTGACCAGTTCATACAGAAAATGCTTTTGAAAATATCATTTTAACAGTAGCCACTTTGCACACGTATTCTCTTCAAATACCCCAGCCCCTGGAGTTCTTTTTCATGGAATTAAACAGATGATAGGACACACTTTTGACCAGCCCCTGGAGTTCTTTTTCATGGAATTAAACAGATGATAGGACACACTTTTGACCACTGTGGATATGTTGAAACAGTGGTGGAAGAATAATAACTATTATTATTTAGCAGACCTTGAATATGTCGTGTATTCTATAAAACAGCTAATTTAGAGTAGACACTGAACATGACCAAGTGGAGAATGAAAGTTCACATAAGTGGAAAGTGGACTGCCTTATTTCCATTTATCTTCAATTCATGTTTGAGGTGTACTGTGGAAAATTCAGGAAAACTTGTTGATTATGGGAGGGAAATAACTAAGCATTTAAGAGTGCCTTAGTAACTACCACACATTTGTCTTTCTGTTTTACATTTAACAGCATTGTGTACTTACTAGTGTGGGTTTATCCTAAGTGCCATAAGACATAAATAGATATATTGGGATTTTTTCTCTCAGTGATTATCATGTCATGAGCAGTGTATTTCAGGTCCTGTCTCTGTCCACCAGAAGATGCGCTTTTGACAATTTTAACTGTTCATGTAAAAGCACACTCTTTTCATCCATCTCCACAACCTTTCTCTCAATGTCTGTAACTGGTGAAATCCTCATTTTCTAAGTTTAGAAGTTCTAGACCCATCAGTTAGTTATCCTTCCACTCTGAAAGATTATTGGAAATTTCAAGTCATCTATATGTTTCAGTATCGAGGGGATGTCAATATATGAACAGGCTATATAGATACAAATTCTTAACTGTTGCTGCCATTTTTTAAGTACCTACCCAATTGCAGAGAGCATTGTACAGGCAGGTTTGTGCACAGAAATCCGGTTCAAGACATGAGGAAAACTTTACTGCATTTTGCTATTCAAACTCAGAGCTCTTGGATTTATGTCAGTGAGCCCAGATAGCTATTTTTTAGGAACCTGTTTGCTACTATAAAGGGATCCACTGTGCCGAGTGTTGAGCCAGTTAGACTCTAGAGCAGCCATTCTTAACCTTGCTGCACATTGGAGTCACTGGGAAGTTATTAAAAATATGGATGCCTGAGTCCCAACCCCAGAGATTCTGATTTAATTGGTCTTGGATGGGGCCTGGGAATCAGGATTAGTAAAAGCTCCCCAGGTGAGTTTAATGTGCAGCCAAGGTGGCGAACCACTGGTTACATTCTACTGAATCTTTCTCTTGAGATTTGGATTAATTTGGTCTAGGGTAATGCCTTGGAATCTGTATTTTATGAGCACCCTGGGTAATTTCAGTAAACAACTGATTTGAGAAGCTCTTGCATTGTAGTCTGCAGAAGACATCACCTTAGCAATTGTTACAAATGTAGGCTCTCAGGCCCTGCCTTAGACTTGTTGAATTCGAATCTGCATTTTAACAGGCTCCCCAGGTGATTCTTCTGCACATTAAAGTTTAAGGAGGACTGGTTCCCAAACTTTGGAGTACATCATAATCTGTAGTGCTAGTTAAAACACAAGTTGCTGGGCCCCATTCCCAGAGTTTCTGATTCAGTTGGTGTGGGGTGGGGCTGTGAATTTGCATTTCTAACAAGTTCCCTGGTGATGCTGATGCTACAGTTCCCAGGGCCACATGTTGAGAACCACTGGGCTAGAGAGAAGTGAGGACCTGAATGAGTACTTCAGCGACTATAATGGAAAGGCAATTTTCAAGGCCATTTTTCAGTATAAAACTTCCTGCTTCTGTGTCATTATGCTTTAGCATGTTCATTCTAACTTAGCACCGTGGAGATTGAGTGTTGCCAAGAGTCTGAGGTTCTTGGGATGGTTTTAGCTGAGGGGTGAGGGTGACTCTTGGAAACCCGTGGTATGATTTTAGGTCCTTTTTCAGAAATTGTTAAATGTAAGATATACATTTTAGGAGTTAAAAACATTACAAATATGATACCTTAAGGTCAATAGTATTGATTTTAATAAGTAAAGCCCCCTTTGTTCCCATAAAAATGCTCTTATGATTCTTTCTTTCACTAACGTCTTGTGAAAAGATTTTAAAAGCTTTTGTGTGTGCTTATGGTTGCTGGATTTCATTTTAAGACTTTCCCACTGTAACAAAAATATAAAAGGATTCTGCTAAGGCATTGGGACTGTTTAGTCTTGTATCTTTAATGCTGCTGCGTGTCACGTTACTTGAACTTTTTATTTTAATCATCTTACCACCTTTGAAGTTAACATAATACTACATTTTGTATAGACCATAGCACAGAGAAGATTCTTTATTGTTAAAATACATCAATAAGTGTGGTTTTAAATTGCAATGAATAAAATGTATTTTAAAAAAAATCCACTCCCAAACATGCAGATTTTGAGACTCTGATGAGGTGTTTGAACAGTTAACTCTTTATCATCTTGCCACAGTAGTCAAGTTACTGTTTTTCAGTGTGCTTGGGAGGAATTGGGTTGTATTGGGAGTAGGCACTTTCTTTCACCAGAACTGTAGTAATCCTATTGCACTATCAAAAAGATGATTTGATAGTGCAGCTCAGGTTAAAGTGATATTAAATTTGCATTTTATACATAAGTTATTGTATTTTTATTATATGCTTTTTGATGAAGATTGACCAGAATAACCAGAAGATGTATCTGTCTGTTGCGCATAATGCCATGAAGTCATGACAGATTTCCTTATCCATACTAACATAATGGTACTAACTTGCATTCTTTTGTCATAATGCATAGTTTTTCTTATAAAAGAAAAACACTATCAGAAAAATTGTTGAGTCTTTTAAGATAAAATATGGTGGTTTTTTAACAGTGTTGATTCCCATTAGAAGACAATCTGATGTTGTATATTACTGATAGAAAAGAAGGCAGGCATGTCCCCAGTTGTCAGTTGTTCTGTAAAAGCCCTCAGTGACTGAGCTAGAAGGATGGAGAAATAT